GGAAAGTTGAAAATAAAGCATATAGAAATGTTTGGGAATAGTTTTCTTACATAAAGTTTATTTTGAATAAGAAGTTGATCTCAGGACACTTTCCCTCAGTGTCACTTAAAAGAGGAAAGAACAGACATGAACACGTTCCAAAAAAGAAGAAATGCGTATATATTGTGTCATAGGTTCCAGTAACGTTACAGCTGGGCACTCTGTAGTGCACCATTCTTGTGCAACTTTATGGAGGAGAGAAAAAAAAAAAAGTAGCAGCGCTACACGCTGTGGAGCAACAGCAGGTTTTGTACAAGTGTTCAGAGTCTAGTAACTTAGGACATTGTGCCTTGTATGGTTTTATGCTACTAATTAACAAGAACTGACGTGACAAATACACTAATATTCTGTAAATCGAGGGGGAACTTGAGGATTCTGGCGGGGGGGAGGTTAGTGTGTGCTTTTTTGATGCCTTTCGGAAAGTATTCCTTATGGTGCTTCAGAAAGAGCCTAGATTGCTATAATTTTGAGAGCCTTCCTGTTTTAAATAGCCGTCTCCTGCACGTTTGTTCCGTTTTTCCTTTGATCTCCTCATCTTTCATAAACTCTTTGTAATGAAATAGTCTAATAATATAACTCTTTCCTTCCCTGTACTGGAAGTTATATTACAAATGGCTGGCCCTTCTAGATTTTATGTATCTTCAGTTGCTTCATTAACTTACTGTAAAGGACTTGGGTTAAAAAAAATAAAAGCCTGCAAAGGAACACCTGTAAACTGTCTTGAGTTTTGCTCAGACGCTAATGAGATATTATGGCCTATGGGAAGGAAATAACTGCAGAATTCCAGAATTCTTTTGGACAAAATGCATAGAACCAGCGATATTCAAACTTCAGCTGAGCAAAGGTTTAGACGATTATGTAGTGCGAGTTGAAAAGAACTACTGGGAACTTTAACTGGCTTCACAGGTAAGGTAACGAGTTTGGAAACTGCTCTGTACAACACGGGAAAATTAGAGTATAAGCTGGGGAGGAAAAGTTAAGAGTGGGGGTGTTGGCAGAGATCTACAAAACTGAGAGTTGAGAAGACTATAAAAACTAAGGGGATAGAGGAGTCTGAATAAAAGTTAGTATATAAGAAAAGATTAACCTCCTCTTACAGATGTATGTGAGTGTATGGTTAAGCAAATACATGAACGTCCTACTCTTAAATTTTCAAAGGATGAACATCAAGAAAGAATATTACAGACGTTTTTGTAACAGGCTAAGCGGTATCGTGAAACGGCAAAGGATGTCTTCCAAATAGTCTACTGTATCCTGGGTTTTCCTAGAAAAGTTACTGATAACCTCATTATATAAGTGGTTTGGACTATGTCAGTGAAAACACACTCTTAAACTGCTGAACTGGCAATCATACAGAGATAGAGTTAATCACTTTGTGGACAGGAAGGGCTGTGCAGCAGCAGAGCTTCTCCATTCAGCGACAGTTGTGTTGCATTAGGTCTTGCTACAACTCGCGTGACCTCTTGCAAGTATAGACAAGTGAGTCCTTTCTCACAGACAGAGCGAGTCATATCTCAGTCATATAAACTGCCATTTGTTAGCCCAGTCTTAACAGAACTGGAAGTAAAATAGCACATCTGCGCTGGAAAGCTATTAGCAACTGATTTCTTTTAAAACAAGAAAGCCATTGTTTCTCAGGAGCTTGCAGGCTCTTGCGATCCAGCCGTCGCCTTCCAACGGGGTAACGCTAAGCACCACAGTGCCACCTGCAGTCCAAAAGTAAAGTACTTTTGTTTCCAGTCCTGGAGGGAAAGTATAACCACTATAAGTATATATTCTTTAATTAATTTATGCTTTATAAAATCACAAATTCAAGCTTTTAAAATTAACATTCATTTCCAGTTTAGAAAAGCGTGAAAGGGAAGTGGTTGATCAAAAACAGCCCAGAAAATAATTGTTTTGGTGACTATCAAAGTCAATTCAATATATTCACCATGAAAGCTACGAAACGCAGATTATTTTATCATGGACATCTCTTTGTTTAAGACTTGCAAGATCTTGCAAGCTGGGATTATTCTGAGTAGTCTCGCTGAGTTCAGAGAAAATCCATATGGCAAAAGGCAGAGTGAACATTTCTTCACTGCTAAAAATCAGTAGGAATTTTGTCACTGAATTAATTTGAAATAGCATCACACCCAGGTTGCCACAGTAAGAATTTGCAGTAAGGGGTACATAACAAGATCTCTCTTTCTGTTCTGCTGCTTTTATAATACTGTTCTGACCTTCTTAGTCTTTCCAATGATACTGTATTGCTGTGGTGGCTAGAAAGAAGGCCTGAGAATGAGGAGCTTTGTAAAATCCTTTCCCAAAACATGATCTACTGTCCTAAAGGTATAAAGCTCTTTCAAGCACTATATAAATAAATGGCAAGTCTGCAAAGGGGCTGGGAAATACTACCAATGAGGTTTTAAGTGTTGTTCTTTAGGCAAATAGATTTGGTTGGTTGGTTTGTATCTTTTCTGGGTAAGAATTTGGTTTAAATTCCTTTACATAATAACATTTAAGAGTGTGAACACATACAGTTTACTGGCCGCTGCAGAAATAAGTCCAGATGACCCCATAATTTCTTGTAATCTCTAACTGTAATACTGAATACATTTTTAGGCATAAGAGTTGTCCATAAGATGCAGAGATGCATGCCATAGCTATTTGAACAAAGGAGCGGGGACAGAATCTGAATCCTGAATACAAGACTGACTTCTGCTGTTACCTTGAACAAGTCACTTATGTATCTCCATAATACGATTGGACCCCACCTTCACAGGAGTAGGGAGAGAATTAATTTGTTGATGCCTGCTTAAAAAGATGAAAAGCTTTAAGTATTCTTAGCTGCCTGTTGTTGGGAGTCAGTTAACACTCTGAACCTCAGATATTAAACCTGACATGCTAGGAACCAGAGAGCACACAATATTGAACTCGACATGTTTAAAGAATTCGTCGTTATGGGAAGCTGTAATTCTGATCCTCACTAGCATACAATTTTATAACATATATATACGTTTATACAGACTTTTGGGTGCACATACAGCAAACTGTGAATCCCTTAGCAGCTGTAATAACGTTCAAAATTGATGTTATGTGCCAAAATACATCCAAAATTAGTTCAAAAAATTGGAGGGGAGGGAGCTGGCACGTTTACTGATCTTCTTTTCAGCTATCTAAAAAGAAAATTAAGGTGTCCTATTTCGTTTGCCACTACGAGGCTTTGAGGTATAAAGCACAGGTAGATGTTACATAAAAGAAGCTCTTTTGAAAAAATATCGTGAACCAGTAGTTTTCATTCAATAAATGAATTCAAAAACCTTTCACGAATTTTAACAATAAGAAAAGAAAATCTGAACGTAGAAGCGCTTCTACTCACCTTGCATTCTCTTCTCAGCATCCATGGTTACTACCTTTATAGCAATGTCAGGGTACACGTGCCCGATGCTGTCATAAACACATCACTCCTAAACTTTGATCCCTTTTTTGGTCTCTCCGTTCACTTCCAGCGTAAGCCTTCGGTTCTAACCTTCAAAGTCACTGATGTATCATGGCTTGGCTAGAGCAGCAATAGCATCTCTTTCTCTCGGTTAGTAGGACTCTAAAGCACTCTTTTGATCAACAGAAATCAAAAGCCAACAATAGCCTAATAACAACCAGGAAGAAAACATTCTGCATCAACTGCATAAAGAAGTGCCACAGACCAGCATTAGGAAAAAAGGTTTGGACTTTGCAAGGTACAGAGCAGAAATGGTTATATATATATACATATATATACTCTGCACATACTCCGTATCATTTCTTCAATAACAAGGATTTCTGCTTCCCTATGAGGACATATTTCTCCTATTTAGCAATGGGGAAATAGCAAATGAGTTGTACAGCTAGGAAAACACAACCTATCTATCTCACGCTGTATCTGTCATGGGGGAGCGCATACTGAAAATAAGACATTACTGATTTGTGAAGTATTTTTTTCAGCAATAGTAGACACAACAAAGAAAATTGCTGCAGCTGCTTTGCTCTAAACAGATTATTGAAAACCTTTGCTATGGAAAAAAACAATGAACTTTGCTATGTAAGATATACACAAATGTAAGATATAACAACGCGAAGAGACTTGGTTTATATTAAAACTCATATCTTGTAAAACTTCATTTGGTGCTCCTTCCATTTTAAGTACATTTTTCTCCAAAACTTTCCTGGTCAATGGAATTGTGCTACATGTGTAAATGAGGTATGAGGGAGAGAGGGAGACAGAAAGGGAAGAGTCAGCCCTATTCTTCCAGCCTGTGTGTTTTCTGCCTTATCTATATATGAAATTGTTTAATTTTTAACCATGGCACCTTCCTTATGTGAACTCGGCTGCACCGTGTAAAGGATCTACACTGACAGCACAGGCCACCTGGGAGAAAGGCACCTTCTCCTCAGAAACAGATTGCCTATGCAACAGTACAGATTATATCAGTTTAAAAAAAAAAATCATGTATCCAATAAAACAGCATCAAAAATGTATACAGATCATATCTCCCTTCCCTCATTGTTACTCATCTTCTTTCATTACAGAAATGCCAACATGGTGATGCTAATCTAATTCAGCTGCAGCAGCTCTTCAATAGAAAGTTCAGAGAGGTTGTTTAATCCTCTACAGTAAGTTCTGATAAAGGACAGCGAAACAGGAAGTTCTCATGCACAGATCCTTCCTCTTTGTCCGAAGGGCTGAGTGGCAGATAGCCATCTGTAATTTCACACCATTATACTGCAAAGTGCTGGCTCCTCTAAACTCTTCTCAACAGC